ACATAACATTATAAATAAGATATTAACGTTGATAATTTTTATTTTACCTTCCAAGGATAATTTTAAACGCACATGAAAGTCTTCAAACCCTATATATGTTTATAAATTTGATTGACTGAAATAATTTTTTTTTTCTAATCTTTTACATAATACGTATACTAACAATATATTGAATATTCATTGGAATATTATTTTTTTTAAAAAAACCAACTTATGCATCGCCTTTTATGCAAAGTGAAACGTTAAATTCCAATCAATGTTTTCATGGATGCATATATATATACACATTTGACAGGCTGACAGGTCTCAAGAAAGTACCTTGGGGCTACAATTTTTCAATGCAGATGATTCAATCTTACATCTATGGCTATTATTTACTAGAATTTATCTTGATTCAAGCAATTGACATCTAAAACGAGATATACTGCTAATAACAATCGTTATAAAGATATTAACAAAATTATTATTAAACGCATCTATCCATATAGTTAAATTTCAAACTATTTATCATCACCCAAGTAATTATAATAAATTAATCGAAAATATTAACGTCAAATTTTAAACGTTATAATAAATATTTTTCAACAAATATAATAATTAATGAAAATAAATTAATAATAATATGATAATAATAAATTAAAATATAATTTTATTCTTATAAAATAACGAAATAAAAATTTTGTTTATTATAAAAATAGCAAATTGAATAAAAAAAAATTTCAAAAAGAGAATTTTCAATTTATTTCCATCAAGGATTTTTCACATAAGATCTGAGAAAAAAAAAATTACGAATTCCTTTTAAGAATCTCTTTAAAGAAATCACGTAGAAACTTTTCATTAATAGCTATAAAAATTTCCAATATAATACTGCATCCTGCCAATAAACATAAATAGAAATTAAAATGACCTGCGCAACATTTCACGGCTTATCTTAAAATTGCCCACACGTGCCTTATCTCAACTAGCAGATCCAAAGCCCTTTATTTCCCAAGAAGAAACCTCTTAAAAGTGGGCTTTAGACTCGAAGAGTTTCTCTCATCTACTCATGCCTCTCTCACAATATATCCGCGGCGCATTGATGAACAATTTAACACACCGTTTCGCGATTGGTGTTCCGACTCTTAAGATGAGAATATATATTTATATAAGAAAGAATAAGTGAGCTCTTCTCTCTTTAAAGTATATATATATATATATATATATATATATATATATATATACCATCATCAAAATGCGAAAAACAGCTTCCCGTTTCTATCTAATGACGACATTCTTTCCATTTAGCTTCTGACTTCTTTGACCTCATCCCATTCGTATATATATATATACGATCGGGTCAATTGACCTGCACTCGTATGTTACGAGCGCCCATTTATTCTCTCTATTTGGCCTCAATGCCTACGCCTGCCTGGCACAAACCAATGGGAAACAGAGAAAGTTACTCGCGCGTATCACTAATCTATCCACAGCGAATCTGCACTATCTAATCGCACCAGGCAGTCTACGATGTACCAAACTAGATATCACGAGCGAGTAGACAGTCAAACCAATATAATATATACGTAAATTGAGTAGCAGCCAACAACATGAAAGTAGTAGCACTCCACAAAGGAAGAAGAGAGAAAAATAATGGGTGCAGTTCCGAATAGCACATACCTCCGATTTCAATAAAACTTAGTATCCCTACGTAATTTGGTGCGCTGATTACGAAAATCATAGTGAAAATTGGCGGAAATTTAATTATCATGGTAAAAACCATAAAAAACACCATAAAATCATGGTTTTTTTCGATTATCTCGTAAAAAACAAAAAACTTCGAAAAAAGTTTTAGACGAAAGTTGTAGATCTCTAAAAAACACACATTTCATGTTTTATGCATTTTTTACCAAAAGTCATTATTTTTCGAGAAAAACGCAAAATAGTAAACACGGCCTTCGGCCGCGTAAGGTACTGCTCGCTTCTCTTTTTAAGAAATCTTGGCGAGAGGGGGTGGATGTGTCCGAAAGTAATTTGCAGAAATTGTGGGGTGGAGTCTACAGCAGCGGTAAACGCAAAATAGTAAACACGGCCTTCGGCCGCGTAAGGTACTGCTCGCTTTTCTTTTTAAAAAAACCTTGGCGAGAGGGGGTGGATATGGCCGAAAGTATTTTGCGGAATTCGTTGGATCCTGAGTAATGGTGAATATGATAATTTCTGCAAATTACTTTCGGACACATCCACCCCCTCTCGCCAAGATTTCTTAAAAAGAGAAGCGAGCAGTACCTTACGCGGCCGAAGGCCGTGTTTACTATTTTGCGTTTTTCTCGAAAAATAATGACTTTTGGTAAAAAATGCATAAAACATGAAATGTGTGTTTTTTAGAGATCTACAACTTTCGTCTAAAACTTTTTTCGAAGTTTTTTGTTTTTTACGAGATAATCGAAAAAAACCATGATTTTATGGTGTTTTTTATGGTTTTTACCATGATAATTAAATTTCCGCCAATTTTCACTATGATTTTCGTAATCAGCGCACCAAATTACGTAGGGATACCAAGTTTTATCGAAATCAGAGGTATGTGCTATTCGGAACTGCACCCAAAAAAATTGTATTTTGCCAAAAAATGTTAAAATTTTATAAAATACTTTTAATAAAAATTTCCTAACTTTTCCCTGATTTCTCTGACCCGTAACAATCCTGCACTGAAAAAAATTTATTTCAATCAAATTATCGGTTACTTATTATCAAATAAATATTTATTTATTATTTGATTCATATAAATGGTATTTGTTTCAAATACAGAAATTATTATGGTTCAAATACAATTTATTTAATTCAAATAAAAATAATTTGATTCAAATAAATATTTATTTTTGATAAGTCAAATAACCAATTAAGGAATCAAAAAATTTTTTACAGTTCGTAACAGTCTGGATGGAATTAAAGAAAAAAAAATTTCTGACAAATTTGGAATGTCATCTATAGAACAATAATAAAAACGGTAAAAATTTACTGATATCAATAAAAAGACCAATTTTCAAATTAAGACATCCAAGAATTAACTTTCACGCCTCTCTTTATTAGATTCAGTACTAAATTATTTAGCAATAAAAATTTCTCAATGTTGAACAAAAAAAAAAATTGAAAGAGTTAAATAAATATTTGTTTAACAAGGTGAAAGTTTTAAATTAATGATTCATGACAAAAAGGTGAAGACATTTTGATAAGAGATATGATTCGAAAGGAAAAATAAATTTGTTCACAATTAAGGTTTTATCTATCTCAACATAAAATAACTTGACTTTAATATATGTAAAAATGAAAAATAAAAACAATTTTTCAAAATGAATAAATTATAACTTGCAAAAATGTATTTTAATGTAGAAAATTTGATCCAATTTCAAATTCTTAGCAAAGAGAGAAATATAGCGAATTTTCCATATTTAATATTAGGAAACAAATAACAAAAAAAAATCTACAATTTGAAATTGTTTCAATCAATGTAACTTTAAAATTTATCGTGTCGGAAGCAGTCAAACTGGTTGTTAAGAGAATGCGAGAGTATGCTTGTTACGATTATAAATGTGTCACGTGCTACATAACTGACATAATAATTTTTTCCCTCTTTCAATTTTTTTTTTTTTTTTTTATTTTTAATCAAAAACTTAATTTACTTTCTGGACTGCTGACCTTTCGTGTAAACACGAGAAGCATTAAAAAAATATAATATTCAAATGAAAGTTTGAAAAGTGTAATTATCTTTTTTTTTACTTTTGAATTCGCAACAAAAAAGAAAAAACTTATAAGAAGCTCAATCAATTAAATCAAAGTCAAAAGAAAACCGCTGCTAAGCAATTTGTACAAAATTATATAAAATAATTTATATAAAATAGAATAATGGAAAAATAAATAATGAATTTTAGAACTTGAAATTGAGATAAAAAAAATTTTAAATTGAAAATCAAAGATTAAATTAAATTTAATATATAAAATGTAACTTGAAATACAATTGCTGATTTAATCGAGTTAAGAGTAGAGCATGATATTAAATTTCTTGGAAGCTGATGTGTGTGCGGAAAATGAAAGAAGATTGATCCTTGACGTTCGCACAAGACTTGATTCATCAATCATTTGGTGACTGTTTATCATGTCATCGAATTTACAATGTGAACAAAAGTGTAGTTGGCATTTGTATTGTATGAAACGGTAGTTGCGACATCTGGGCCAGGTCACAATTTAATTGTTTACTAAGAATCGCAAGAGTTATCGTTTACCACTGTGGATAAAACAACGGATCCCAATGTTGGTTTATAAGTATATACCGTTACATCAATAAAAACAAAAAATTATCTATCAATTTCTAAAAATCCAAAATATTTTATCACCCAAGTAATTAAATTCAATTATTCTTTGATCGATCAATTTGATTCAAATGAATAAATTTGAAAAAAAAAATCGAAATTAAACAAATGAATGACAAAAGTGAAGAGAAAAACAATGAATGAGAGATAAAATAATAATTAAAAAAATAAATTTGAATTGAGAGCATTGATTTATGGAATTCAATAGCATTGTCAAAGTTAATTAATAAAAAAAGTAAAATAATAAATTAATTAAATGAATATAAATTTTCCGAATATTGTAAAAATTATATAAAAATCGAATAAAATAAGAAGTTTCAAAAATGTTTGACGAAAGTATAGAGAGCTGCCATCTTTTTCATTTCAGAGGAACTACACCGAATGAATTGATCTTTGAGTTTACCTACAAATAGTTATACGAGTTCTACTGTACCGACAATCGTTATCGTTTGCTGTTACCAGCAAAGCAAAACGAATGGTATTTTTTTAACTAAAAATTTTTGTTACCATTAAACGAATTACATTTACCTAAGGCTATCTTCCTCCTATGAATTATCATAGGAGTTTAAATTTACAAGAATTGCATTTTCTTTAACCACGAATTTTCAAAAAGATATTTTGATACATATTTTTTTTTTTTATTTAAATTAAAAAACTCACCATGTGTTCCATTGCCTTCTCCTCCAGTTCCGCTCTGCTCCAATCGATGTGAAAACTTAAAGGCTGCATACGAGTTTCCATTTCGCGTAGCCACTTCCTCAGGCACTTCACTTCATGATCGAAATCTAGAAAAAAATCAATTTTTAACATTCTTGATACATTGACTTAAATTTCTATTGTTAAACAATGAATAAACATCTATTTTATTTCATAATCTAATTATATATAATTAATTACAGAAATATTTAATCTATTTAGGTGAAAATTAGATAATATATAAAAACCAGTATTTATATTTATAATTCCTCATATCAAACAATGCGGATCAATTATATAACATAAAACTAAACTTTCTTTTAATATTTAATTTTATAAGAAAAAACAAAGATTCATATGATCAAAAAGTTGGTAACATTTTTCAAAAAATTTCAAAATTTATTGTAACTTTGTTATGCTCCAAAAAATTGACCAGAACTAGTCAAAAAAAAACTATCAGGATTGCTACGGATTCAAAATTTCAAAACTTCCTGAAATTTCCAGGTTTTCCAGACCATTTTCTTAAAAATTCCCTGACCAATTATAAAATTGTTATAATTAAGTTTTAGCTTTTAAGATAAATGTCCCAGTCTTCGTCACTACCTTAGTTACCGTCAGTTTGGTTGAAAATTACCGTAGCAAACTGAACTTTTCATTAACCCAATTTTTATTTGGCCTAATTTTATATGTATTTTTAAACTATTTATTAAAATTTACTAATTGTAAAATATTCTCATTATTAAACGATAATTTAATTACACACGTCTCGATTTTATAAAAAAAAATACAAAATTCCAGAAAGTACGTTGTTCTAATATATAATTCTAACTGTTAATTCTCATTTATTCCAAACAATAAAGTATAATAATCCAAATTTATTATGGTATACAAATTTAAATCGTAATAAATAGTAAAAAATCGCATGACTATAATATTTATGAGAAAATTATACATTACCTGCAGAAACGTCTTGATGATCTGTAACAGGTCTAACTGTTGGGGCCATGATTTGTTCAACAAGTTCCCATTTAGCGTTAAGATGATCAACACGCCAAGTAATTTCATCTCTTAAAGCTGGCTCACGGGCTATTAATTTTCCCGCTTGTTCATTGAACAATCTTCTTCTGTATGCCTTGCGTCGTAGCTCCTCCATGTGAGCCTAAATTACAGAAATTTCGCCAATTAATTATTATATTTCTTAATAAGGAAAAAAAAATACAGAAATAAATAAAATGTTTCCATGCACTGTTCTACAATTTTTAAAGGAAAGAAATTTTTCTTTTCATTTGGAAAATGAATATGAAATCAATTTTAATTTGTTTAAAAAAATATTAATTTAATAATTTCATTTATTTGTTTATTTAAAGAAAATTTTTGCCTTTTTGGCGACGAATCGTTGTTTTTGAATTATTTTCATTTTATATTTAAATTATTGAATTACTTACTGCACGCAGGCCTTTGTCTAGAAGATTTTCCTCTTTAGAGTAAACCAACTCCTGAAGAACTCTAAGCCACGAGTAGAGTTCTGAAAATTGGCAACTAACTTCATTTAAACCCCAAGAGAGTGTGGAAACGTCACCTTCATCCCAAGCTAGTTCTCCATTCGCTTCCTATAAAAATGTATTTAATTAATTACTTTCATCAATTACTTTGATTTTCATGGAATTATTAAACGAAAAACCATATAATATTTAATTTAGTTTTCTTAAAATGAAAAATAGGAAATAAATTCCTTATGCATCGTCTACCATTTTTTATAATTAAATAAGTAATTTTTGAAAAATCAGAATTTGCGTTTATAATTTTTTTAAATTAAATTTTTATAATTCAAGGAAATTATTTATAAAATTACAAAATTGAAAATAATATGAACTTACTTTGCAACTGTCAATTAAATTTGTGTCCATAATATAGTCGTAATTAGTACGTATCGATGCCCAAAAATCATCAACTGTGTCTTCACGATTTTCTGAGATGCATTGGCAGTGTTCCTGTTTCGGTTCTTTCCTGAAATTTGCAAAAAAAATAATAAAACTTTATTGCATCAAATCATATATTCAATTCTTAAAATCTTTAAATTCTAATTACAATTAAAAATTATTTTTAACAGTTAACATTTCTTTTTTTAAATTACATATGTATATAACAAAAATTGATGAAGGATAAAAAAAAACAATTTGAACATGTTATAAATTGGGCAAAAAACTGCTTTCTAATTTGAACGTTCTGTAAAATCTAAATTGAAAGGCTCTGAAACAACTTGAGAGAAAAACGCTTCTTAATTGGAATATTTTCGAATTGGGAGGTCTTAAATTAATATAAATGCATAAGATGCGTAGGTAAGGGTCATCTATATATATAGGAGAAATTTCTAGTTTAACATCAGGCCTTATATGTATATCAACATCAATTATATTGGCTCGTTCATCTTTTCCATTTGAAAATGTGAATGCATAAAATAAGATGTGTGACTTGAATTTGTAATTAGATATGAAAAACTGCCTTAAATTATTCAAAAAAAAATTAAATTAAATTATTGCACTTTAACAAATGGAAAAAGGTGAAATAGATGAAAAATTGACAAAATAGGAGATTATTAACTTCACAAAAAGTAAATAAAGGGAGGGGTGACAATTTTAGTAATTAAGTAATTGATCATTGTTGATTTAATTTTATTTATATTATTAATAGAATAATAAAATGAAATATTTACCTTTTTTTGGTGAGACTGTTATATGGCCTTTCAACTTGCATTCTCACATGCTCTGGACCCTCTAGACTTTTGCTAGAGGGTTGCAGTGAGGACAATGAGAAGCTCATCTTCATTGTCGCAGCCTGAAAACAAAAAAAGGGAATTAAAAAAAAAATTGTAAAATTCTTTTGAATTTTGATTTTAACTATGGACACAAAAAAATTAAAATTTTTTTAACTAATAACTTTGCAGAGATGCAGCGAAGATGATATCACACTCAATGGCACGCAATAATATTCAATACACGGAAGTTTCCTACGCGGAAATTCAAATTAATATAATAAGAATGAAGTGTGCAACGTGATCTTTTTTTTAAAAACAATTTACTCAAAATTATGACAAATTTTGTATTACTCAACTTTTGAATGTTTAAACAAACGAAATTCTTTATTTTACAATAATTTTTCGGTTATAAACTATAATCTATAATAAAAAAAAAAAAAAAATACAAAGTGAAAATTGAATTTCAAAATTAAATTAATAATGTTGTTTTTAAATAACATTAAATTTCAAGTTCAGACAAAAAATACTTAAAAATGTTAAACGATTAGAACTTTGGGAACATCATCTAGAAAGCGTATATAAAAACAATATAAAAAATCTTCTGGCTAGTTAATCAAAATGATTTTAATTCATATGTACCTTAAAAGAAAATTATAGATTTTTATTTCTTTACGACATTACTAAAACTGTATATAGAAAGCAATAATTAATAACTTTTTTGTTCTTATTTTTCTATATAATTTATGATAATTTGTTACTTTTAACACTTATATTAACTATACACTAAATACTTCACACTTATATTCTTTTTTTTTTTTTTGATTTTATTGCAGTTAAAAATAACACTTTAATTAATTAAATTCAAGAACAATGGAATTCTGATGAATACTTTCAAGTTGCAATTATATCAACTTACATGAATATTTACGTGAAACACATTACTTGGCATATTACGTATATAACACACTTTCATAAAATATAAATTCTCCTCCAACATTGTTATATGTTGAAAAATGTAAATATAAATTAAAATTAATATAAACTAAAATTTTATCTAAATTTGAGAATTTGTGCTTTTTTGATTTCTAATTATCTAATAATAATAATAACAGACTACATATTTGTTATATTTATAAAATATGTAAATAGAAATTCAAAAACATTAAAGAACAAAAATTATAATTTGTTATTGAAAAATATTATTTTACAATATAGATTTTATGGTGAAAGTATAAGAACTTAATAAAACGACAACATGATATATGTTGACATTTTGGTGAAAGGAAAATTTTAGCTAGAACGTGATATAAAACCTCTTATCATCTCAAAAAGATAACTATGTAAAAAAGATTTCTTTATAAATTGCATTATTATTATTACTATCTGTACTTGCGCTAAACCTGGGTTTTAACCTCGGAGATACACAACAACTCCATTTTTGTGTACTTAAGTGAAAATGGCAAATACGGGTCAGACAAAAGGAAAAAAAAAACCGAAGACGAAAAAGATTGTTAAGACCACTGTATCTTTTACTTTCATTTAAGAAGTCTCCTTATTTTTTTTTTAACCCTTTTATAAATTTTGGTAAATGATTTTTAAAATTAGTTTATCATGTATTTTCATCAAATCAAATTTATTTAAAATTTTATAATTTAACTAATATTTAATTCAAATATAGTAATTAAATAATTATTAAATCAGTAATTATTATTTTTACAAAAAAAATTTAAACAATTTTTGTTGAAAAATATTTTTATCAAAAATTCTACTTTTTTTTTTTTAAACATGAGCTTCTTCTATAAACACAAGTAATATTTTTATGAGAGCATAAATTATGTGTGTCATCATTTCAAAACACCTTTCCTTCCTTTAATGAAATAAACTGCTGAACAAACTAAACACAAAAAAAACAACCTAAAACGTTATATTGGGAACAATTTTTTTTTTTATGAAAATTAAATTTCAACTAAGAAGAATATTATTCGGTTTCATCTTCTACGAGTATAAAAGTAAACATTATTAGCTACATTGTGTTTTCAAAGTCATTTTCTGTTCAGGCTTGCTGGAGAAATTGAAGGAAAACAGGTTGAAATTGATACCTAATGCATAAAGCAACAGCGTAAAATGTAAATTAATTGATGTACAGTTAAAACTCCTTTTTCACTGTTTAAGTGAGATTGATAAAATATAATTGATTCTATTAAATTTAATAACAACGATAATATTATTGATTCATTTTACTATTTTCAACTTTACACTATATTTTAATAACTTAATAATAAATTTTCATTTATTTTCTAACTTATTGATTGTTGCAATTTTATCACGAAATTATTTACATTCACTAATTTGAATTTCTTCAATAACTTATTAATAAATACTCAATTTATAAATAAATATACAAGTTTTATATAGAATTTCAAAACAATCCAAAATTATTTTTAAAAAAAAACACAATTTTAAATGAAAAAAGAATTTATAATTTAATTGGAATTATCACTAGAGGAAAATTAATCACTTGAATATATTAAATACGCATAAAAAATCAAAACCCAAATTATGAAATAACGTGAAAGTTTAAAGAAGAAGAATGCTTGAAATTTCACAAAGTTTTATGAACCGATGTAATCGTCAAGAAATATCTTATCTAATTGTAAACTAACCTGGCAATGTAAACTTATCTTTGAGACTTTGATTATATAGAGCTACTCCAAAAATGTACTTGTTATATATATATGGAAAGAAAATTATACCCGTTAATCAAAGTTTCTCTTAACTTCATGCAAACATTTAAATCTCTAAACTAATTTGCAATCGACTTGAGAAATCAAGCACTCCAATCAATTTAATCAGGCAATTCAATAATTAATTAAAAAATAATATCTATGTTTAATATTTCAAATTTTAAAACACTGAATTTAATCTTAAAAAAAAAGATTTTAAAAATCAAGTTTTTTAAATTAACATTATTTTATAATTGTAAATATTTTTTTTTCTTTGTTCAAGAATTTTTAAATTGCACAAAATAATAATAATAATTTTCAAAACAAATATATCTAACCATTTTAAAGCACAATATTCCTTTGTGAGACTTTAAAAACCACAAAGATGGTAAGTCATTTTCCATGGGATTAAAGCACCAGAATGCAGACACTAGCACATCTAAATTTACACAAAATTATCAATCCAGAAAGGTTATAATTGGAAATAACTGAATGTACAACAATTGGCGTTGTCTGGCGCTTTGCCAATAGAAATAACAATTAAACACGTGTTACACCACAAAAACATTGTAAATATGATTTTTAACAGTCGTTGCCCTGCACCTGCCATAACTTTAGGTAGAGAGGCGGACGAAAATGAAAAAATCGAGAAAACCGCAAAGAGCCTTGCACCGCGGGCTACGTCATGGCGCTCCGGTAATGTTAACCATTAGTCACCAAGAAAGGAATCCTTTTCCTGCTGCAATCCGACTTCCTCGTCATCTAAAGAGACAACGAGGAGATTCAAAGAAGAGTGAAAGAACTTTAATAGACGAAACACAAAGCTACACGACCCAAAAAATGTCTCATCTCATGAGAAACACGATGGAATTTTGTAGCACACGCATATAGAGAGAGAGTGGAATTTGGCAGGGCAAAAAATCGTGAATCTGGACGATCTTGGCAACCGGCATTTAATAATAATATACTCACAGTTTTGCACGTTCCTCTTCAATCAAACTAACTATTCATTTATGACCCCACGGATCGCATCGTTGACTCCTGACGACATAACCTCAGTCGACACGGACTTTAAAGCTGTACACAAAACAACCACTCCTTCCATTACAGTTCACATGAGTTTTTTTAACTGAGATGCAAGAAGCGCGAAATAAGTCTAAAGTTTAAGGTGCTTATATACCTCAAATTTCGATCAGATGAACATTATTTCTGGACCGTGAAAATGCGTGAAAAGTCATTTTCACGGCGGGTATTTTTGAATTGTTTTGAACAAAAAATGTTTTTTTAAGAAATATAATATTAAATAATTGTTTTAATATGTAAGAACACTTTAAAATAGTGATAGAAAAATGATTTGATTAAAAAATATAGCAAATTTTGCTTTAAAACGTTTCTGCTACAAGAAAGTGTAAAATGACGATGTTTGTGAAATGGTTTGTACAGTGTACATGTGTACATGTTTCTTTCAGTTATTTGAAACAATTAGTAGAATTTAAATTTATTTGATAAACATTTCAACTTACCGATTTATTTTCAGCACTCATTATTTATTACAAGTTAAAAAGAAACGACATAACATAAACAAAACTCTGAGAGACACTCACAAGGAAGAAGCACTGTACAAACCATTTCACAAACATCGTCATTTTACACTTTCTTGTAGCAGAAAACGTTTTAAAGCAAAATTTGCTAAATTTTTTAATCAAATCATCTCTCTATCACTATTTTAAAGTGTTCTTACATATTAAAACAATTATTTAATATTATATTTCTTAAAAAAACATTTTTTGTTTAAAACAATTCAAAAATACCCGCCGTGAAAATGACTTTTCACGCATTTTCACGGTCCAGAAATAATGTTCATCTGATCGAAATTTGAGGTATATAAGCACCTTTACAGTGATGGTAGCCTGCACTGCTTGATAAAATTCATCCCTACTTTTTAGGTCGCGTTCACAATATAGAATGCAAGCAAGGTTGAGCAGGTAGAAATACTACCGTAAAAGCAGTTACGCTTGCGTGAGTTACGTTCAACGGGCAATGCACTCAGGTTATTTTATTTTGAATTTTGTTGAAGATATCCTGATTTTACCTATGTTTATTATTTGTCTGTTCTGTTTATTATATCCATTGAAAACAGTATTCGCAGAAAGTAGAAATCCACATTGCTAACACCGATGCTTAAAATTTTCCTTACATACTTCTTTTCCCGAAATCATAATTATTAGTATCTAATAATTATATATATATACGAAACTGCGTTATTCGCTTCATAAAAAAAATAAATCCTTATATATAATATAACCTGCACTATTTGTTTTATAAAAAATAATAAATGCTGTATATAATAATAATCGAAACTAATATTTTAGCACATTGTTATATAAATAAAATAAAAATTATTCTAAATGCAAAAAAATGTGAGAATATTATTTCCTATAAGTAGATACATTATATTAAATAACACAAACTTACCACAAAAAATAACTGCTGAAGTCTTCTTCTTCTCTTTCAGTGGCCTGTTGAAATTAACTGCTAAATTCATTTCGATAGAAGATGTGCAAATGCTACTTGTTGTGTACGATGAATAATAAATAATTGTTGAAATAATTCTTCTTGAAGAAGCGCAGGTCCTACTCATAACATTGTCCAAGCGGAACTAAGTGGGGATTTTTTTTGCTGCATAATTGTTAAAATAATTTTTTTTGAAGAAGCGCAGATCCTACTCATAACATTGTCCAAGCGGAACTAAGTGGGGATTTGCTTTTGCTTTTTAAAACCTCTTTATTTATCAAATTAAATACAGTAATATAATAAGAAAATATACATAATTTATAGATTTAAATTCTGCACCTGTTAGTTTATAAACTTATCAGAATATTTATATTTAGCTTAGTTTACACTTATTATAGAGTTCCTAAAGATAATTCTTATTTCATGAATTCTTATATTGGTAAAAAGGTCCATTGTAAAAAACCCATTAGATGATTATTATATAAATAAAATCTAAAGAATCAACAGTTATTAAAATATTAAATACAATAAAAAAGCTTACTAACTAAGGAAAATGTAAGTCGAAGTATTTACATAAATGATTACATTAATAATGAATACGGCAGTTTGTGTTTAATTTTAAAAGGCGCTGTTTCCTTAGTGTGAAGTACAAAATTTTCTAGTGCTTTAGCTTTTTGTATTTGATTATTATAGAAATTATCTGTTTGTTTATAGATTGTGTCATTAATATCTAAAATTTGTAAAATATTTTTAATTTCTATATTTGAAATTTTTGGTGAAACATTGGCAATTTTTCGTAGTATTTTATTTTCAAAAGTTGTAATTTTTTGAGTGTTTGCTCCACTCCATACAGGAATAGAATAAAGAACTCCTGATTTTATCAGGCTTTTATATAAGAGTACTTTGTTTTTAGCATTAAGTTTACTTTTCTGATTCATAAGACAATATAATAAACCAATTATTTTTTGACCTTTGGTGCACGCTTTAGTAATATGAGATTTATAGTTTAACCTATAATCCAAAGTTAGTCCCAAGTATTTAATACTGTTTGTTTTCTTAATTTCTATCTTATCTACTATAATTTTTAATTCATCCTCTTTATTCTCTTTTTTGCGTTTGCTAAATATTATAAATTCAGTTTTACTCGCATTTATTTTAAGTTTCCACTTGTGATAGTACCTCATGAGTATATCCAAATGTCTTTGTAAATATTCAACTGCTTTATATTTTTTCCAAGAAGTGGAAAAAATAGCTGTGTCATCTGCAAATATCGAGATTTTAGTATCTTTATTCTTTGGTATATCATTTAAATAATAAATAAATAATACTGGACCAAGGATAGACCCCTGAGGCACTCCCGCCGCAATGTTTTTATACTGCGACTTAGTATCGTCATAAACTACATTAAATTTCCTATTATTTAAATAACTTGTTAATAATTTATTTATGTACAATGGTAAACCTATTTTTGATAGTTTATAAATAAGGCCCCTGTGCCAGACGGAATCAAAAGCCTTTTCGATGTCAAGAAAAGCAGCTGCTGTATGCTTATTTCTATTAAAATTTGTTGTTATTTCATTTGTAACTCTAGCTAATTGTTGAACGGTGCTATGTTTTTCTCTAAAGCCAAATTGCTCAGGTATGAGTATGTTATTTTCAGATTCAAAGATTTTAATTCTGTTTAATATTAATTTTTCAAATAATTTACTGAGTGTTGATAATAAACTAATTGGACGATAATTTTGAGGAAAGAGTTTATCTTTCCCAGTTTTATGAATTGCAATTACATTTGCTTTTTTCCAATCATTGGGAAAATAAGATAAATTAAAACAAGCATTAAAAATATAATTTATCTGCACAATAATTTTTTTAGATAGATTTTTTAAGACAATGTTTTGAATACCGTCTGGACCAGGCGCCTTCTTTGATGACAGTGTTAATATCAATTTTCTTATTTCTATTGGTGATGATAGATGAATTGAATCAGAATCAAAATCGCTATTTAGGACTTCTTGATAAGCATCATTTACAATTTTGTTTGTTTCTTTATTTCCAAAGTCACGCGTGAGATGATGCACTCCCTCAAAATAATTAGCTAAGACTTCAACAATATCTTCTTTATTATAGGTTAGGCCAGAGGGACCATGCAATTTGACAATTGAACCTGGATGAGTTCTGGTAAAAGATTTTGCTGTTTTCCAAATGCTGTTATCTTTAACATTGAGATTTTCTAATCGTTTATTCCAATTTTCATTATAAAAATTTTTAATTTTAGTTTTAATCAGATTGGACAGTCTATTTTTAATTTTACGTAAATAATCTAATTTAGTTTGTTGAAAAGATTTACGAATTTTATTTCGTTCTTTAATTAAGTCTTTGATTTCTTGTGGAAGAGGAAGACGAGCCGCAATTAAGTTTGGTGACTTCCTCGGTACCGCTACATCTAAGGCACTGTTAATTAATTGAGTAATTTTATCTATGGTAAAATCTATTTTATTGCAATTATCTAGATCATTACTAATGATTAAATTGTCATTTAGATAGTTTCTAAAGTGATTCCAATCCGCATTTTTATAATCTAGATGTGTTTTCTGTTTGTAATTTATTTGAGAATTATTAATTGTTACTAGTATCGGTAAATGATCAGAGTTTAATTCATCTAAAGTTTCTACTTCTATGAGTTTATTTAGATTTTTATTTAGGACTATGTCAAGAAAAGTAGGAGAAGAATTTAAATCATACGGATATCGCGTTGGACTATCAGGAGCTATTACTTCTATTAAGTTATTTTGTGTATAATTGAATATTGTTTGACCATTTTTATTACTTCTATTACAATGCCATAGATTATGCTTTGCGTTGAAGTCACCAATTGCAAGGATTTTATTATGTTTTTTGAAAATTTCATCTAATTGACCCGCTAATAGATTTTGATTCGGAACATATATTGAAGCTATAATCAAACCATTATCCAGTTTAATTCCGATGGCTTCCACGCCATCAAAATCAACCTGGGTGAAATTTATATTCAATTTTACTAAAATGGCAACTCCTCCTCCTCTGTTACCATTAATGTGTCTATCTTTTCTAATAGTTTTAAAACCAGGAGTATTAAAATTCTTTTTATTGTTAAGTTTAGTTTCATTTAATAAAATTATGTCAATTGCATGCATGTCTATGAAGTGCCTCATCTCACGCTGTTTTTCGATAATGCCGTTGGCATTCCAATGCGCTATTACAATATTATTTTTGTAATCCATTGCTAAAGTTTAAAATATACTCGTTAAATAACATTGCTTGTTCAATTTTATCGTCTGTAGAATCAAGTGCAAATAGCAGATCTTTAGCCATTTGGATCATATTTTTTAAATTATATTTACTAGTAATTTTCTTACCAATTTCCGCGAATTCCAATAACAGAGACATGTCTTCTTGGGATGAATTGATGGCTGATTTATTCCATGGATTGGTTGTTGTTAGTGAAGACTGAGTTGATCCTTTATCCTGTGAGAGCTTGTTTGTGGTTAACGTCGTCAGATTCGTTGAATTACCCGTTGTTTGCATCGGAGGATAGTTTGTCCTGTTGAGATTTGGTGGTATAGTTTGATGATGAGATTTCACACTAGTTTTAATTGATTTTGCAGCTTCTCTAAGGCGCAGAATTTTTTCAATCCGTTCCTTGTATTTTGGGCATCCCCTGAAGTTCGCCGTATGATTTCCTTGACAATTAGCACACTTAGCTTCAGAATCTTTTGATTTGACACAGTCTTTTGTCAAATGGCCTAGGCCGCATTTGACGCACTTTGGTGAGTTGAAACAATTGTTCGTACCGTGACCGAATTGTTGACACTTATAGCACTGAGTCACTCCTGTAGGATTCTTATAATCCTCCCATGTGATTCTAGTGTAACAAAGAGTTTTTAACTTTTTGAGCAACTGGAGCTTAACTCCCTTCATCGAGTTGTCGAAGGTCACTAAATAAGGAGGATATTCTTGCGGTCTATCACTTCTTACTGTCATAACATTTACCTTTAGTGGTTCAAAGCCGCATTCCTTGAGTTCCGTAATGATTTCTTGCGTGTCAATTCTAGGAAGACCCTTGATGACGAGTTTCTTTAACTTTTGAGAATTTGGTGTAAACGTATGAAAAGGTATATTTTCTAATTTGAGTTTATCCATGATTAATTGATGATCATTTATCCCATTGGGATAGATAGTGATGGCAACAGGTGAAATTTTGATGGTCATGTTTTTGGTTATTTGTTTGATATTATTGTAGATGGAGAGTCTTTTCGCCGATTGAATTGAGGGATCATTTATGACGATAGGAGGTCCTTTAACTTCTTTTTGAATAGAATCTGCGAGATCCATTTGTTCATTTTCTTCCTCATCACTTTCGAGTTGTTTAAATTTGTTGTCCGTCAAGACTTGCTGATTTTTGTTGTTTCGAGAAGAGGTTTTCTGCCTCTTCCTCTTATTGAAATTGCCATTTTTCTCTTCTCCCATGGCTGGGGGAGATATAAGACTTGTATAATTTGCTTAATGAGCTTACGTTGATTAGACTGAAAGGATGCGAGCCAAACACCTTCATCCATTCAGTTTTCTGAAAGAATCAGTTTAATACTTTAACGATGTGAACAGTATGACGGTTCAGTCGAGAATCCTACTAAGTGGGGATTGCTAAAATCGTCGATCTTTATAGTAGACTCCCCCACCACTTCTTTGCGCTCTTCTGATTGGTCGTCAGTGAACGCCCGCACCAATCACAAATCAGTTGTCTCACTATCTCTCCCCACCGAGTTAATAAATATGACTGATTTTTTTGAAACACCAGTAGTTCATGTTTGAAAATTTTAAGGTAAGTATTTACGAAATTAGAAAAATTTTTTTATCACATTAAGTTAATCTTAATAAAAGGTGTATTATCATGGTGTATTAATAACTTACTATGAATAAATCTAAAGCAGTTTTTTGATTCACTTCTACTAAAGATGAATAATTAATTATTAATAATTTTTTCAAAAATTAAATAATTTCAATGAATAATTTAACTGTAAATTATAATAATTTTTAGTATATTTAAAAAAAACTTGAAAATTAAAAAAGTTTATCTCCATTTTGTAACAAAGGATCATTTTTTTTTACATTTATTGTTTGTCATTTATTTTAAAATAGTGCGCCTCCAACAGGAAAACAACGCCATCATGAATTGGCGCAAGCGCAATGGTCACCCGGTGCTACACAAACATCGCTGCTTCCCTGTAATCCTTGTGGTGGTTTAAAACTCGTCAGTCAAGTCCGCGGGGTCCGCATTCCAGTGTTCTAGTGGACGCTGAGAGTGTTGTTTTGCAGTGAGTTTTATGGATGAAGCGAGTGTATCACAAAACGGGGATGAAAATGGAGTAATTTACCGGAGCAAGGTGCATCCGACGCCAGGCGTTTTTCGCCGGTTTTCCGGAATAAATATATCAAACGAGAGTTGAAATTTTTTTTGACCTATTAGCAAGACGCTATTCACTGGAAGAAAAAAAAGGGTAAGTGCACTTCTATTCTCTTGGCGTGTGCCGCGACCGAGATTGTTTTTTTTTTTTTTGTTTTCCTTATACTCGGTTCTCGTCCTGTTCTCTGTCCTCTTCAGTAACGTTTGTTTCTGTGGTTCATGAATTCGCTCCAGGGACAAGCCGCGCTACAATTATTCGGCATGCGATCGGCATACAAATCGGTACGTGATTCGAATTTGAAAATGTGATCAAACGCGATGCAATTTTCGTAAGATTTTTTTTTCTTCTGGAGAAATAAATATTATGCACCTGCAAAAGATTATAAGGTTTTTGAAGCAAGGTGTACGTGGGACGCTGTACTTTACGGTTTGTTTCTAAAAAATATTTTTTTAAAAAAAATGTTATCTTTAAGGGAGGGAGGGGAAATCAGTAGTTTTTGCGCGTGCCGGATCGTTGTATTTTTTCTTTCTCGAGCGGAAGAACAAACTGCGGCGCCGAGACGTCCCCAGCGTCTTGGCAGGTGTCTAGACTAAAAAAAAGATACAAGGCGCCTGAAAGTTGTTTTGAGGATATTGATGTACATAAAACGCAAATTTTTCAATTGTCATCGTGTTTTTGAGCCTTGATTTTGTAATTCTTTATTAGTCTTGTAAGTCGTCTTTTACCTTTTTTTATTGTTCTATTAAAATTTTTCATGCAAATTCTTTTATTCTGTATATATGTACTTACAAAATTTATGTGATTTATTTCAATTTTTCACGTTTTTTGTCAGTGAATGTAATTTTAAAAATCTAGACTTTTATTTATTTAAAGATATTAAAATTCAATGTTGTTTTTGGGAGTTTCTCGAACAATGATGCGATTTGTGTAGGTGTATGTTTTTATAAACTTTCAGCCAGGTAACACGTGGGTGACGATTTCTATATCAAAGGCAATGCTTTCTATTTTGAAATATTTAAAAATGAATAAAAATCTTTATTTTCAATATATTTTAGAGGGTGTAAAATGTAATTTTAAAAAATTAAGGGCGAAATTTTTTAATCGAGATTTATTCATTATAAATTTAGCATTTTGTTTTCGAATATATAAATCTAAGACAAACTAAATACTTATTGTATTATCTTTGGCAACTTTATTTTCCTATTATTTTAAGGAGAATTAAAAACAATTTTTGTTTTGATAGAGACTGCGGAAGTCATCGAAATCTTCACAAGATACTAAGGATTCATTTTATAATTTTTTTGTGGAAGCAATAAATAAAATATATTTTCAATTTAAAATTGATTTCTAAATCTGTCTTAAGCGATAAATATTTTTAGCTGTATTTTTTTAATTCTATCTGCAATCTCTTATCTTATCTTTCGTATTTGAAAACTTTATTTAATAAAAGAAAAATTGCAGCTATATGAATAAATTTCGTTTAATTATTTTTAAAAGAAATCAAATTAATCATTCGGAAAAATGAAATTCAAAGCCCTTTTTTCAACTTTCTCGTATAATGATTTAATTTGTCTAATTAGCACGCACTGAATTAATTCATCTCTTTTTTGCAAAGCTTCTAAATGCTCTGATAATCATATATGGAAGCAACGCACTTGAGAAATCTGGCTGAGCAAATTGCATTCATTATGAACAAATGGTTGAATAAGTTTCAAATGAGACATGAACAAAGAGATTAACAGTGGAGATGAAAGTGGTCATCATTGAGGGTCGCGAGGGGAATAGAGAGAAAGAGAGATAGAGCGCGAGTGTGATAGGTAACTCGAGAAAATAAAAGGGTTTACTAATGCAGAGGCGTCGAGATGAAGATACGACACGTCTCTAGCTTCGGTACACGAATAGATTTTGCTTAGCATGTCACTTCCTACTTTGACCAGATTGTACAAAAGAAAAATCGCCATTGTTTTCGAATAAAACGTTTCCGCTAATAATCATCAAATTGATCAGAGATTTTATCTTTTAACTATAAAATATATATATTTTATAAAACGATTATATTTAATTTTGTTAATGTAAGATTGTTTGTATTTTTTTTTTAGTCGTAAATTGAGAAGTTGAGAATATTTATTTTTTTAGTGGCGCGCGAGTAGAGATTTGGAAAGTCCGAATTGGTTCTATGGATCCTTTTAGAATTAGATATAGATGTAGAGAGGTGGTTTGGCAGGCAGGTGTGGAAAGAATAAAGTGGGGAATGGTTTGAGGTAGCGAACCCTATAGTGATTGTTAACACCTGAATACAAAACCCGGCGGAACCAATGCAAGCAGAATCGAATGTTCACCTGTTGACATTATATAGTTTTCTCCAATTTTAGTAATTTGTTAAAGGGGGGAAAAGGACAAATAGACTTGTCAATAATCTTCTTCTTTCATTCTCTATTGCCACTGATTGCCGTTTACCCTCGTGCCGCATGTTAAATTTAACGCGGCAACCGTTGTGTCAACTCTTGAAAGTTTCTTGTGTCAATACCTCGTATTTACTTAGGGCGCACTCACACCTCTGGCTGCCTGCACAGGCAGCCTCCCACCACGCAGAAAACGTACAAGAGTAAGAGAGACAGAAAATTCAAATTTAAATCTACTGACTCTCTGATTGGCTCTCACTGGCTGCCTGTGCAGGCAGCCAGAGGTGTGAGTGCGCCCTTACTTTTTTTTCTCCTAGATTTATTTTCTTTTTTTTTTATATTATTAATTTAGAAATAAATATCCAAAAAAATCAAGTTTTTTATTTTATTAGTACTTTAAATTGAAAATTAATTTTAAATAGTGGAATATCTTTCGCTCCATTTTTGTACATAACTCATTCAAGTTTTAATTATGCAATGAATGTGCTCAAGATAATAAATTTTCTAACACTGTAATGATCGGGCACCACCCATTTGAACGAGTTATAAAATTATGTCATATTTCACTTTTGCGCGTGCCAATGATTGAGGGAATATAGTAAAAGGTTAACAACAATTTACAATATAAATTCTTATGAGAATTTTAAAGGTCAATAAAAACAATTTTTTTTTTAAATATCAAATTTGTGTTTGATGTCAATTAATAATCTCTATTAAAATTTTAGAGATTAATAATAATCTTTAAATTAACTTCTATATAATGGCTAAAAAAAAAAAATTTTCAAATGAAATATACGAATGATTAATAATAATAATCTTTCAAATCGACTTGACAGTGATTAATATGTCTGACATGGAGAAAAATGAAAAATATTATTAGCTTATAATTTTTGTCGCTCGATGAAGCAAAATGTCCTCCTCGCAGGTAGTTCCCTTGTGTTATAAGCTCGTTCTAGTTTTCTTTGAGAATTGATCGTATACATTCCGGACCCAAAGGTAGCCACGAGAACGAAACGAGTGTAGCCGATTTAATCTGCAATTTCTTTGTGGGAGGATGCTCCATTGGAGATTGGGGAAGGGGGGGGGGGAGGAACAAGGTTGACAACCGCTGCTTTGGAATTCGACTTCTTTATTTTTATGAGTGACAGAGAGGGAGATGATCAGAATCCACACAGCCTCCCTTGCTTCTTCTCACCTGTTACTCTTGTCATCGGACTTTTATACCAATCTCAGATATATATACACACACACACACACAATAATCCTTCGGGCTCTCGACGCCAAAATTTACGAATATTAATTTTACGACAAGATCAAACACTTGTCATCAACCGAAATCCATTATTTCGTTTTGTCGACACTTGAAAATTTGTGTTTTACTAGATTTTTTATATCACCTCAGGAACTTAAATTTGTGATGATCTGAATCAAATTTCGTATTAAATATCATAAAATTATGTAAAAAAAAAAAATTATTTTTTTGTAAATATTAATATAATAATTATTAATTGCAGGTCTCGGATTATACGACTTTTTCGACTTTTTTCGACTAATTTTAATAAAATGCGACTATTTCGACTTTTTTTTACATTTTTTAAACAAGTTTTTAAATAAAATATATTTTTTTAGTATTAAATGCAGATCTTCTTCAGATCTTCTTTATTTCAATTATTTAACAAATTTTTAACTAGAATTCTTCACTAAATTAATTATTTTCTAAATTTTCAATTTAAAATCTTTTAAAATTCAATTATTTTCTCAATTTTTAATTTAATATCAAATAAAATTCAATTATTACCCAAAATTTCAATTCAAAATCAATTAAAATTCAATAATTATCTAAAATTTAAATTAAAAATTAATTATTATCAAAATTTTTAATCAAAAATCAACTTAAATTAAATTATTATCCAAAATTTCAATTCAAATTCAATTATTTCCCAAAATTTCAATTCAAAATCAAAGAAAATTCAATTATTTTCAAAATTTTCTATTTTAAATCAACTAAAATTCAATTATTTTCCAAATTTTCAATTTCAAATCAAAGAAAATTGAATTATTTTAAAAATTTTCAATTCAAAATCAACTAAAATTCAATTTTTCTCAAAAATTTTAATGTATAATTTATTATTATCAAAATTTTCAATCAAAAATCAACTAAAATTATATTATTATCCAAAATTTCAATTATATTTCAATTATTTTCAAAAATTTTAATTTAAAAACTTTTAAAATTTATTTATTTTTTAAAATTTAACAATTTCAATTATGACTCTAAGGAAATTCAATTATTTTTAACTATTTTTATAATATTCTTTAAAAATTCAACTATCTGAAACCATTTTGCAATTAAAAATGGTTTTCAAATTATTGTATTTTTCTCCGCAATTTCTAATAAATTTGTTAATGAAATCATCAAAAAAATTTAATTAAAAACACTTGAAGTTCAATTAATTTTAAAAATCTCAATTGTAAATCTTTGAAAATTCAATTACATTTAAAAAATGTTATCTGAAATTATTTGATAAATTATTTTTAGTTTTATAAAATTTAATTATTGTTTGAAAATTAACAAAATTTTTTAAAATTCAATTATTTTTAAAAATTTCAACTTTAAACCCTTCCAAAAGTATTATTATTTAAAAAAAAAAATTTAATTTAAAAATCTGTAAAATATTGTTGTTAAAATTTAAAAAAATCGACTTTTTCGACTTTTTTTGGAATATAAATCGACTAAAACGACTTTTTTTGTGCCTTTAAGTCGATCCGAGGCCTGTAATTGTAGTATATAATTATTTTCGATTAACAATTAAGTGAGATAATTTAATAAATAGTAATCACTTGGACAAATATTGTATAAAGAAATTCATGGAGAAATTAAAATTTATTGGGGAAAAATTGAAGGATTAATTTTGCACGTGGTTGATATTTTGAGAAAATATTTATTTTTACTCCCTCTGATAACGAAAAAAAATTCACATCTCCTTCGGTTACGCGTAGGTGATAGTTATATCTATGAATGAGCCTACCTACGCTCATGATGTTAGTCAATAAATAATTTCCTCAGAGTCCTTGCTAGAACAGTTTTTGTTCTTCTCAACATTCACGTACGTGGGTGTAATCGGTGCGCTTTACTGCGGATAAGAAATCACTTTTCGTTACCGTATTAGGATATTGTATTTTCTTTCCAATTTCATGTCCATTTTTTTTTTAAATTCCTTATTTTTATCTGTAAAATAATATGAAATTTCTATTATATCAAATTCAAAACTGCAAAAGTATATAATTTTAATATTAAAAATTTAATGTTACAATTTAAATAGATGAAAATTATATTTATTGTTTTATTTTTTTAGTCTCTTCGAATTTCGTTGAATGACATGGTAAAAAGAGGCATCAAATTCAAAGTCCGTTGAAAGAATGATAAAGGGAGAGAGCTAAAATAAACACCAATAATTTTCTGGCACCCTATAGCAATCCTAGGGATCAAAAGAGATACCGAGTTAAACTATTAATGTGCGTAGGTGGGAAAGATAATATAGTATATTAAGAGAGGAAGAGGAAAAAAAAAATCTGAAAGGAGTTACACCAGACGCGTTCGCGGGAGATTTAAATGGTTCGTTAGCGCGCGTTCAATTTTATCGTATAACTTGCGGGTGTGTTGTTTCATATAGGATTTTTTTTTATAACTAATAATTTCTATACTTGTATATATATATAGTGTACAAAATATCTTAGGAACGCAGGAATGTGTTCTATTTTCACATGAACTCATCGTTCTAAACTTAAACTCATTTGTTGGCATTTATTTTAGTTGTTCTCACTCACGCAAGTGCGTTTGCCAATGGGGACACAAAATGAATAGAAAACGAAGGAAACAAAAAAAATAAATAACAAACTTGATCGTAAAACGTGACTAAATTCTCTTCCGTAATTTCAGAATGTGTCAAGATGCGACCTGTGCCTTCCCTTTCCGGCTTCATCACAGTCTTCCTCTTTGTTCTAGGATGCTACGCTTCTGGTAAGATTTTGTATTTTTTTTTAAATGAACGATTGACTAATTTTCTTTTAATTTATAAAAAAATTCATTTTTTTAAATTTTTCATTTTTTTTTAAATTCATTATTTTTTATTCAATATTTTAATTATAAAATTAAATTGTATTTACATTCTTTTAATTTGTTAATATTAAAAAATTGATTTTTAAAAATGATAAAATTATTTATAAATTGTGAATTATTTTTAATAGGACAAAAGCAGGAATTAGGAATGACATTTATTCGACATCCTCAACCATTCATTGCTCCTCTTGGCGATGATGTATTTCTTGAGTGCAATCTTAATCTAGCACCAGAGAAATTTGTATGGCGTCACAGGCCATTAGGTTCTAATAAATGGGAGCCATTTAATCAGGCTGCTAACAGCAGTGGTAAAGCTTCTATACTTACTGTGAATTTTGATAATGAATCAAAAGCAGGTGATTACCGATGTATCGCCTTTTACGGTGAGTTTGTCACCTTAAATTATTCACTTTATTCCAAAAACATAATTAAATATTTAATTTTACTAATCTTTGAAAAAAAAAAAAATTCCGAAGTTAAAATTAAATTAAAATTTGTAAAATTCTACTGAAATTCTTTTTAATAAATTAGGCATCATTTTTTCACCTTTTTTGAGGAGAAAAGTTACTGGTGATGCCTAAAGAGAATTTTAACTAATGAAAAATAAATAAGAAAATTTTGATTTTCAGGAACGAGTGGTTTGGCATCCGATCCAGCTCGTTTGACACTGGCAACGATGGAAAAGTTCTCTGATAAAAGTGATGTTGAAATAAAAGTACCTGTTGGTAATACTGTGCCAATAACCTGTCCGATCTCGTATTCCGCTCCCGAGCCAGATATTCTATTTTTTAAGGACAATAGACCAGTTAAAAGTGCCACATTAACAGGTGGCAAAACATTAATAATTGAAAATGCCCGTCCATCTGATTCTGGGAAATATCATTGTACAGCAAATAATTATTTAACAAGTCAAATGTATCTCAGCAATCATAATACGATTCTCACTGTTGAATCAACACAAAAATTGCAGAGTCCTTATTTCATCAAACAACCACAGACTGAATATAAAGTATTGCGAGGAAAAAATGTGACGTTAGAATGTTTTGGAGCCGGTTATCCAGTGCCTTATATGAAATGGTCAAAATTAGGAAAACCATTGCCTTCACGTTCTTCTTCATCGGCAATGGGATTGACAATTGTCAATGTTCAACCGTCCGATCAAGGTGAATACGATTGTGCCTGGAATAATGTAAGATATCCATTAAAATTAGTGATTATTTTAATTGTCGTTGAACCGCCAAGGGTAATAAAATCACCGAAAGGTTTGACTTTCGCTGAAGGCGGTGAACTTGAATTATCGTGCTCCGTTTCTGGACAACCAGAACCATCAATTGAATGGTTAATTAATGGTGAAACTCTCACACCTAATAATAATGTCGAAATAAGAGGCGCAACACTCTCGATTTCATCGGTGGAAAAGAAACACGCTGGCATTGTTCAATGTGTCGCGAGCAATGAATATGGATCGCACTCGGGATATAATTTTCTTCGAGTCACACCAAAGCAACACGTTGGTGGATCCCTTGAATCGAGACACGAATATGGAATTCCAAATTCAGCGCACAAACACACAAAAATTGGCGGTCGAAGACGAGGAAAGGATGGCAAACGAAAGGGACCCGGTAATTCTATTTTTAAAAATTGATAAATTATTAATTCGATTTTAGGATAATAAAAATGAAATTCTGTTTTTCAGATGTTCTAGTACCGCCAGATCAGCCGAACGTGACAAGATTATCAGACGTTTCAGTAATGGTGAGATGGTCCGTACCCGAGAACAATGGATTGGAAATTCAATTCTTCAAAGTACAATATCGTGAACTTGGACAGAGAATGAATGGCAAACAAGCTAAATGGATGACGGCAATTCAAGAAATACCGAATCATATTCGTTCATTTGAAGTTAATGATTTACAACCAAATCATACATATCGTTTTCGTATTGCCGCCGTTTATTCAAATAATGACAATAAACTTAGTCCAAATTCCGTTCGATTTCATTTAAATCGAAGTACATCAATTAATAGTGATAAAATGCCAACTCCACTTTTTACCAATACAGAATCATTGAGTCCACATCGTATTCTTCTTATTTGGCAAAATCCTGATCGTTCGGCAAATATTGATGGTTTCTATGTTAATCATCGTGCATCAACGTCGGCGGGCGATTATATAAAGACAACAGTTGAGGGGAAAAATTCAACGAGAACAATTATTTCTCATTTACAACCTGATGTTACATATGAATTTAAGGTTCAGAGTTTTTCGGTTGATGCTGCTTCTGAATTCTCCAAAATTCTCAGAGAGAAAACAAAGAAATTACCGGTTCCCGATGTGCCCGTTCAACAAGTTAAAGTTGAGAATGAACAAAAACCAGTGGAGACGCCAAGGAATTCGAATATGTACGCAATCGTTGGTGGAGTTCTTGGAGGTGCGATTCTTCTCGGAGGACTTGCCGCCATCACTGTCGCTTACAAGAAGCGCAAATTTAAGCAAAGTCGCGACTCTTCACAGGATCAAGGTACTCAATAGTTTTTTTAGTCATATTTTTTAAAAATAATTTTAGAAAATTTATTCTTCAAATTTATTATTTTAATTTTAATAATAATTGACAGATTGTTTTCTATTTGTTATAAATTTTTTTTAGAAAACAATTTTCAAAATTTTCTAAAAAAAATTGTGTGCAAATTGATTAAAAATTGAACAATAATTATATTTTTGTGTTTAAAACTTAATATTAAATTATTGTTCTTTACAACAAGTGTAAAAAGTTTCCTTAGAAATTAATTTTATAAAATAATATTGATATTTTTATTTTATTTTGACAAAGAAATATTGTTTTTTATTTTCTTAAATAATTAATTTTTATTGCATAATTTTATATTTATAATAAAATTTAATAATTAAAAATTATTAATTTGCGACTGATTTATATTTCTATTTAATAATTCATTTTTAATAAAAATTGTGTGAAACATTTTTTTTCAACAATTTGTTTAATTTTTTATTTTCAGGTATAAAAGAGATGAAAGGAGGAAGTGAGTGGGCTTTTTGAGGATGCTGAGGACTTCCACTTTCATTTCTTTGAAAAAAAATAAAAATTTAGTTTTCCATTTGATATATAAAATAATGTTAATTAATTTCGATATTATTTTTTTTTAGCGAAACCAATCACGAATGGACGTGTGATGAACGGTGGGATAACTGACTCGAAGATAAACATAACATCAAATCCATTGGCCGGTCTCGATCCAGTTGACGATGCGCATCAGCCCAAGGTCAGTACGCGCGAATCTTGCAATCGATGCTTTCAATTACCTGGAGAAAGACTTGACAAGGCGGCGGCTCGATCATTTATAACATCGGGAAATGATTCTTCAACAAGAATTCATCAAAACAATCCAATCAACGGCCGTCATTTGTCGATTTCTCCAAGAGTTTGCCCCACGTTAACGCCACGGTTTAAAAAAAGACATCCGTTGCATTAGCTAAGGGGCCCGCCTCTTGTTTATTATTATTATTATTGCCTCTCTATATAAAATGCCTCTGCCTCCGCCTCTCTGTGCACTCTCTCTGGAGCCGCTTTTCTTTTGTTTTTTCCGAACACCACACATACGTACGTTACCAAACACGCTCTAGATCTGAAAGAAGCGAACGAACACGCATGTTTCTAAACAGAGCGGTCATCAGTCCTCAATGGAAATGGCCTCGTTTCTAAACGGTCAGAACAACAACAGCAACCTCCATCACAATGTGGAAACAACCGGGTCAGCAGTCAACTCGATGCTCAAGGAATCGGCCCTTCACCATGGACCAGTGCCACCACTCGATCAACACCTGTGAACGATCATCATCATCTTCATCCTCATCATCATCATCATCATCTTTCCAAAACACATCCATTATTTATTCCATGGCCAACGAGAGAATCAGTCGAGAAAAAGGTTTTTAAGATTAAGATCCAATTAAGACTTATTTTTTCTTTCTTTCTTTTTTTTTTTTTTAAATAGAATTTCTCGTATGTTCTTTTTTGTCATACGAGATTTTTACGGCCTACGAACTGAGATGTATAGATTTTTTTTTCTTTTTTTTTTTTTTGATACTCTTTATTCAGTGAACTGATAAAAATCACATACGTCCGTCTATTGTTGTCACCTGTGGGATTACCGAGAGAGTCATTTTATATTTGCAAAACACACAGCTGTGTGACGATTTTGAACCGTCACTGGTATTTTTGCTTGATGTAAAAACAAAGTGCGTTGGCTTGGAATTTTTTTGTCTTCCAATCTGTGTCGCAAATACTAATTTTGTTTCTTTTTTAACGAAAGAAAATTATAGAGTTGAACTTTTTAATTTATTTGTTTCTTTTTTTTTCAAAAATCATTTTAAGTGATTTTTTTTATTAGATGTTGAGTTGTTTTTAATCATTTTAATATTATTTAATGTAATATTAATTATTGGTTAATAATTGATTAGTGATAGAAAAAAAAAACTAAATTGATTAATTTAATTATTATATTAACCTAATTAATTTTTTTTTTATAGCTTTTTGAGAATTATTTGTGATTATATTTTAAATTTTTGACAAGAAACCAAATTAAATTTTTTTCACTAAAAAGAAAAAATGAATAGTTTTAATAATAATTATTAATATGTAACATTTTAACAATCGTGTTCGGGATTTTTATGTGTGTTTAAAAAGTTTAAAATAACTTCGGTATTCCCACAAGCTTATGAGACAATGTTTTAAGACTTTAAAAATGGGAATTCAAAGAATTATTCAGAGTCACATTTACTCATCATCAAATTATTCGCGACTCAAATGAAAAATATTTGAAAAACTTTAAGATGAAAGTTTAAATATGTTATTTAACTTAGAAATATATTTTTTAGATAAATTTTTTAAAACATTTGTAGCGATATGAAATTTTTTAAATTCCCATTGAAATAATATATTTATATAATACGTATATATATAGATATATATAAGCGAAGATTTCTTCGTAGCTCAATAAAAAGATATTGCGTTTTTAATCCTTAAAAGTTGAACTCGAAATCACGTCATTAATCGTTCAAACGGAATTTTAATGAGACTCACTCTTTAAATGAATAAAGTGCCTTGACTGACAAAATTTTTAACAGGTTTAAAAATTTTGTTACTATTTATATTGTAAAATATATATATTTAAGAATTATTAAATTAAATCAATTTAATTATTTAAAAATTAATTAATTTTGAAAATTGAATTTAAAAAATTCAAAATTCAATTTAAAATAAGTGAAGGTAGAAAATTGAATTTTCGATATTTCAAATTTAATTTGAAAAAAACAATTCATTTTGAAAACTGAAAATTGTCAAAAAATTTTTAAAATCGCAATATCTGAACAGTATCAATTTTTTTATTATTATAAAATCGAATGTAAACTTACACGTCATGCAGGCAGCTTTTTTATTCTGAATCATAACGGTTGTTTAGAGTTTTTTCTTTTTTTCTTTTTATTGCTTTGTACATAATTGAAGCTCTAGTTACGTAAAAAAAAAAAAATACTGGAAATACGATTCATGAAATTATTTTTAGAAATGAGAAAATTACTGCAACCATAACGAGCAACAATTAAATATATAAAAATAATACACCCTAACGAACAATAAATTAGATAATATTTTTTTTTAACTTTAGTTTACAATATTCTTTCTAACGTAAAAATTCATTCTTTTTTTTACATTATAAAACGCTTATTATAACTAGAATCCAGAGATCCAGCCACTTATGCTAACAGTATTGTGTTCTTTTTTTTTTGCAAGAAAGAGACTATTAATTACTTTTATAGGATCTCTTAGAACTGACCCGCGTACAGTAATTATTTAGATTTTATAGAAAAGAAGAAAACTAGGCAATAATATTTAATTAATATTGAACAGTGAGAATCGAATTTTTTCTTGTGCGTGTGATGATTTGAGAAAAAGTGAATCGAGACAAGAGAGAAAGAAACGAATGAAAGGCAAAATAAACGAATGTTTATAAAGAGAGGTAAACAAAATTTTTATCTATTAAAACAAAATTTTTTATTGTGAAAATTGTAAATAAGTACTTATAAAATTAATTAAGTATATAACGTTCTTCCCCTCTTTGTAGGACAACACGGTTGCAATATAACAGAAATACATTATTATATACATAGAGATATTTTTAATTAAGGGAAAAAAAAAAGTTTTTGAAAATTTTTGAAACGATTTTTTTTTGGAATTGTGCTGTCTGCAACCGTAAGTTCAAAGTGATTTTTAATATGTGAATGAGAGAAAATGAATTTTTGTAAATAGTAGAATTAATTTTTAACTTTAGAGCAATGATTGTGCCTTACATCTTGCCTTGGATCATAATATTAACAGTAATTATTATTTATATGATCTGTCTCGTGTACTTAATATTTTTTCGATAATAAAATAATTAGAACATAAATTTCCAATTATTTTATATATAATTACTTCCTAAAAATATTCTTCTTTGCGAATTACTTTTCTCTTTTTTTTTTGTTTATATAGTAAAAAAAAAGTAGTAAATTTATCAGTACTTATTTATTTTTAATTAAATATATATGTTTTTAATTTATAATAATTTTAAAATATCTGAATAATGAAATATTAATAACATAATGATTAAAAATATAACAAAATATCCTGTTTTTTAAATTAATAGTTCATTTTAATTTATTTCTGATTTTTTAAAAGTGTTTTGTCGAGTTTAAATATTATATTTGAAGATGGTAATTTTATTTTATTTATTTATAGTATAATACAATGGGATATTTTGTTATTCTTATTATTAGATATGAATATTTATTTTTATTTATTATTTGAATTATTATTTTGAGTTTTCAGTTTCACACAATCAATTGTAAAATCAATTTTTTGAATTTGATAAACATTTTTTCAATATAATTTACAAGAAAATTAAAGAAGGACTTTGACGAAAAATTTGGATCTAATAAACAGGTGAGTGATAATATATAATAATAAAAATAAAATCTAATGATCATAATAAAAAGTAGTGATTTTTCTTTTAGGTTTTTCATTTTTTTGTTGTTGAAAATCTTCTGTATATTGTCACTGGAGTTATGATTAGAGCATCGATCCGAATACAAATGATTCACGTCTATTCTCGATTGATCAACTTTAATGAGAATTAGAATGATTAGATGAGTTTTTTATTATAATTAGCCCACCCAATGTGTTAAATAATAATAATTGAAGGTTAAAATCAGCATCTCTTTTCTCTCTCTTTTCTCTCTCTCTCTCTCGTCGTTTGCGAATCCTTTAGTGATTACTGTAATCGAATCCCCTTCTCTTTTACTCGCGTGCATGAATAAACCGTTCTAAAGTGGTCAAGTTCAAATCACAATTCACACAGATTTAGTCGGCCGGCGACTATGACTCGAGAACCATCAGCGCATCCGGTTAGTTAGTTAGTTTTTAAAGTATGAAAATTACTGGAACTATCAGTTGTACACGTGCGAGTGATCGTGAAACATGAACGTCTATAGTTTCTATAAGCTTGCCTAAGACGATTCAGTATAATCTTTACTCTGTACTTGAAAAATTATTAATTTTTTTTCTGTTTTTTTTTTTTTTTGAAAAAAATTTTCCCGAGAGCTTTTTATTTAAATGTTTGCGGTAATTTTTTTTCTTTGAAATTTGAAATTCTGCGGATTACTTCAATCTCAAGAAATAATTGGTGAGATTTTGTTTATAATATTTATGATTTATTAAAATATAAGAAAATGTTTTAATATTGCAAAATTTTCCCTTTGAGCTTTGTTTATAAATATTAGCTTATTTTTCGGTAGCTTTTTTTAAAAAATGGAAAAATTGTTAGAAATGTAAATGATAAATTACCAAATGTATGAAATTAATTTATTAAATTAATTATTTATAATTTATTGTAATTAATTTTTATTTTTTAAATTATCAAAACTTATTTTCTTTTTTAATATTTGTGAATTAATTTTTTTTTTTTCATCTTTTAATATAGAAAAAAAAATTGATTGAGAAATTTTTACTGTTTATTTTAATCAATAGTCGTTAGATTTAACTAATTATTTGACGACATTTCAACATCGAGTTTTTGATCGTAAATAATTTTAATTGATACTAAGATACGAATCATAATGGCTTATTAAATTAATCTTATTAATATTGAGATATTCATGGAATCTAATATTCCCTGAATATAATATTAATTAAAAGTTGTATCATAATTAACATATGTATAAATATAGGTAACTAAATTTACATAATAATTATTAACTTTTCAATATTGTATTTGAAATCTCTTCAACTTTTTTCAAAAAAAAATTTTGCTTTAAGAATATACTTAGAGAAATCTCTTTTGTAAAGAGGAAGTAAATCTTAAGCCTCGTTTAAATAATAACAGGCAAGAAAAGTTTTTTTGTTTTTTCAATAACTCGATTGCGTTACGAGTGAAAAATAACTTGAACAAAACAATATGAAAATTACTATCGTCATGTTATATTTAGTATTGATAAAAAATTTCTTAATTAATATTTCAATTTATAAACAAGGCTCTATGACAGAAATAGTTTATTATTGAAAAATTTTCAACTTCAAAAATGCTTTTTCCGAAAATATATATTTTTTTTAAATTAAAAGGCAGTGAATTTCACTTTGTTAATAATTATTGCCAAAAAAAATACAATTTTTGCAATAAAAAATCATAATTATTTGATAAATTAATAATTTTTGCGAGAAAGAGAGAAAAAGAGAGAGAATGAGATCTTATGAGTTTAAACTCAACAAGTGATCTGTTTATTGAGAACGCGAATCGAGATGAACAGATGACGATTGTTTAGATGCAAACTCCAAATTTAGCAATTCAAATTTAAAAAAATGGGCGCGATAAGCAATCAGTTAACTAGGACACAAATGAGAGGTGACAACCTCGTATTGAGAATCGACATTGGCCTAAATCCATTACCAATCGACTTCCACTTCTAGGTGTAGAATTATATAGATTTTTTTTTTTTTTAATTTAAAAATAGAGGAGCTTTCACTTAAAAATTTATTTTTATCAGTATTTCAATTCTTCCTTCTTTGGATCGAAGAAAGTTAATTTTTCGCCATTAAGATAAATAGAATTTAAAAAAAAAAAAAAACTCTTGAAAATATCTCGCGGATTTTGAAACAGGAAATGATAATAGTATAAAAATACTCGAGAATTCGTCAAGAAGGTTTATATTTTCTCTATAAATATCTGAAAATTTAGATAAAAATAATTTTATTTAATTGTTAAATAATAAAAGTTAAAGATAAGAGATAAGCCACTATTTAAGGAATAATTTTTAGCAATAATTATTGATAATAATAATTGTAAACAAAATACTAGATTTTTAGATGTTTAATTCGAAAAATTGAAAAAAAAAATATTTTTAAATAATTACTTTATAAATAATAATTTGTAAAAAGATTATTTAACAATACATTTGAAAAAAGATTTTAATACTTCTTCGTTTTTAATATTATTGTTTTGCATTTCTTTTCAAAGATTTTTTGTGATCATTAAAATTAGAATAAAATAGAATTATTATGCGAGATAACATCATCTGGACCAATTAGTCATGTAGGCTGTCCACGTTTTCGTAATAAACTTGCTGTTCAACTCGTATTCAGTTCATTTAAACAATTACGCATTTTCTGTACGCGTTTCAAATGTTAAATTATCCAGAGGCACATGACCCAAAGAGTCATTTTTTTCAATTTAACTTATTTACTTCGAGATCAATGAACCCCATGTTGTTGATTAACAGAATCATTTAACCAAATTGAAAAACTATTTCAAAAATGTTATAGAATTCAAAAAAGAAATAATAAAAAATTTTAATTTTTTGAAATAGAATTTTTTTTGAAAAAATTGACAATTTTTTTTTGCTCTTAGAAAACATATATCTCACGTCATTAACAATAGTTTTGATTTTTAACTGTTAAATAAAAAAAAAACAATTATAATAATTATCTTAAAACGTGCGCCTTTTATGGACAGAAGTGATAAAAAATTCTATAAATGAAAAAAAGTGTTTGTAATAATAATTTATCTTTTGTGAAAACGTCACGAAGTACTTCTTTAAGCTTTATTTTGTTTTTGCACACAATGAGTCGATGATTCAGTGTAAAAAAGCTGACCAAGCACGTTTTAGAGATCCCTTTTTTTTCTCATAAAAGATTTATTTTAATTTTAAGCCTTTTAGTTCAATATAATATTGAGTTGGTAATTAAAAGAAATTTTTTTTTTCATTCCATATACGAAAAGAGAAAATTTAATCCTTCTTGACGAGATATACATTTTGTCCAAATTAAGTGTAATAAATTTAATTACAGTTCCAAAAAAAAGAAGACGCGAAAAATCTGGACCAGACTGTATTTTAAATTCAATTCGTGACCTCGCACTGAATTTTAATGAGTCACGTTTTTTTTTTTTTTTTGTCAATCCGAGTATTTGAGAGATTTTAAACTTTACAGAAAAATGAAATATAATCAAAAAATGAAAATTATTGAAATTGGAAAATGTTTTTGAGATAGTAAAAAAAAAGAGAATAATAGTGGAATTATTTATAAGGGAGAATATTGAAAATTCCTAGTTGGCAATTTTAAATGACAAAATAGTTGAGGCAGATGGGCTCAAGTGGTGAAGGGGCACTTGAAATGACGAGATAATAGGCTGATTGTGTTGGGAAGGAGAAAAGAATTAATGATAGCATATAAACCACTGGTTGCGGCCGCGATCATTCAATCGAAACTTTCTTGTTTCTTTGGCTTCTCTGACGCACATGTGACGTCAATCCAAGGAGCAAGAAACATCGGGGTACCTTTTATTCCTGCTCTTCTTACACTGGTCATCTACTTCAGAACCACTTGATTCTCTAAAGGACCGAATATATATATATTCTATAAATTAGTCTTGTCCATCGTCCTCGAGAACATAATATAGCAAAAAAAAAAAAAAAACATTTCTCATCAATTTTTATACCTGAATACAATTTTTATATTTGAAAAACTCGTCTTATTTGTCTCAAGAACAAGTTTCACATCGAAAAAATAATAGAAAAATAAATGGATCATATCAATCCATATTTATTTGCTATCGACTAACCTTTTTATAAATTTGTTTTGCTCCAAATATTTTTTCCTTCAATTAAAAAAAGATGTCATTTAAGTTTTTTTTTTTTTTGTCCACTGATTATTTATCTTTTTTTGTTCAATGGCCAATTACTGCGCAATTTTGCAAAGAGAAAAAAAAAAAAAAAAAGATGAAAACATTCAAATATCAAAAAATTGCACGTGGTTCCGGTCATGTGATCTTTTTGTCTTTGTTATTTATATTTCTTTTATCTCTCTCAGTTACAGACAAATTCACCGGAAGTTTCATCTCAATGAATCATGGGAAATTACCTGTTGATTTATGGCGGGAAAAATCTACGCAGTTTATATTTTGAAAGCCAACTTTTTGATAACACAATTTGCGGGGGAAAAAACGGAAATAACATAACAAGATAATCCTCACGTCATCGTATACGTTTTTTTTTATCAGCATGTGAGAATATTTATCGAATACGAATTGATAAAAAGACCTCGTGAAATTACAAAGTGAGAAGACAATAAAGCTCTGATTTATTCACAGTGTTTTCGTGTGTGTATAAAATTCGTAATGGCTGCCAGTATCATTAGTAGATTTCAGTTTTTTGACAGTTAACATATACAAAGTGAAAAGAAATGATTTACTTTTGTTTGAAATGAAAGATTATTTTGTGAAAAAGAAAGGAATTGTGCAAAAAAAAATATATCCTAATCGACAGTACGAGCGCTACGAGTCGATTTGTTGTTATAAGGGAGAGAGAGAGAGAGCATCGAGCAGCTGGTTTGTGTGTCTATCGAAGGTAACGAGATAGAAATTCCAGGACACCTGTAATCCGGATGCATAAATACTTATATACTCTTATATCACTAGGAGAAATTCATTCTCTACCTTATCCTCTTTGCGGTATCGTAAAAGCAATTGTAAATGAACAAGGATCATTTCGAAGATAAAGGTAGAAAGGTGAGTTTTTTTTTGTCTCTCATACACACGCATAAACATTTTATTTGCACTTTTTTTGCTCTCATTGACGTTGTCTTGGTCATGGTTCTTAAATATTCAAGATCAGGTTTATGGAAATTAATTCCATATATTTGTAAATGACTTTTTTTTCGAAAAATTGATAATATTCAACTTTTGACTAGAGATTTGTTGTCAAAACATTTATCAATGACACTTTATTAAATATAATACTTTTTCGTTTAAATTCATTAAATATTCATTTAATTATTAGTTCATACTTATTGAAACTACAATAAAAAACAATATATTTCATGTTTTTTTTAACGTTAAAGTAGGTCAAAAGTTCAATAACATTTATTTGAGGTTAGAATTTCATTTAGTTAGTTTTTCACTTTCAAACTATATTTAAAACGAAAACTAAATTTATTTTCGATTTATATAATTTTGGTCTTAGAATTATTAATAAATATTATAAATTACAAATAATAGTTTTTAAAATAACTGATATAATTTATGTCGTATGATTTTTATTATAAAATTCTATTTTATTTGACTTTTTTAAAAAAAGAAGAAGTAAATGAATTGTCGTATTTTTGAATTGCAAAGAAGCTTTAACTACGAAAGCAATTAAAAATATATTTATATAGTTTAAAAGCGATAATACACGTGCTGAAAAAATAATTAACAATTTAATTTCACAGATATTCCTAATTTTTGAAATAAAAGAAGGGAAATATCAATTTTATTGAAATTTATTAAATGAAAAATTATTTTTCATTTAGTAAATAAATGTCTAATTCATTGAGATAGAATTTTATTTATTTTTTTTAAAACGTATAAATGTCACTTCATTGACGAGTGTCCTTATAAGATAAGATTATTTAAACTGTTTTAAAGTTTTTAATTGTTCTTATTTTACTTTGACCCATTTTCAAGTGTTAGTACTCTTTAAAAAGTCTTAAGTGTAAAATATATATTTTCAACAATTTGCGAATGGTTAGAAAATATTCTTTATTTTGCATTATTTATTTTTCTTATAAATTATTTATAATTTCTATTATTATATTTCTTTTTTAATTTTTCATGATTCATTAATTTTGTATTATTACGTATTTCAACTTTTATTTTCTGTTAATCGCGTTTTTCTTCTATTATTATTATTTTATAAACTTTAATTATTTTCTATTTATTTAAATTAATTTCTTTTTGTGTGTTTATTTTATACTCGTTTAGAAAATATACAAATTTCATTTTTAAATGTGTTAATTTCAGGACAAATCAAACGAAATGGTAGATCCAGTAGAGGAGGCTAATGAAAAATACGACGAGTTTGATATAATAAAAATGCCGATTGCAAGAACTTTAAGCAAAAGTCCTTTAAGTGACGAAGGAATTGAAACAGATTCCGAAAGAAAACGTTCTGTTATGGGTCGATGTTGGAGTTTTGATTCAACAGTTCCAAGCGATGAAGATTTATCGCAAAGTGATCAGCATAATAGGAAACAAAAATTACAAGTTACAAGATGTTGTAGTTCTGATAGTGCAGTTCTTAGTGATGACGATCAATTGAAAGGTAAATATTATTTACTTCTTTTTATTTGACTCTTCATCATGACTTTGACCAATTTACATTGAGAAAAAAAAGATGTCAGAAAAAATGTTAAATTAAAAAATAATATTTAGAAAGATGAAAAAAAAATTAAATTAAATTAAAAAAATACAATTATAAAAATAAAAGAATTAAAATATTTAAGGTAAATGAAATTTTAGGATTATTGTGAAATTGTTATTTTTTTTCAGGCTGGGGAAATCCAATGTTAACGGACAATGTTGATTACGAGTCAAATGAAGGAAGACCCAGATATTGGCGAACTCCAAGTGTTGTTGTGAGTGATTATTCGGATTATTCATTTATTGACGAGAGATTCGAGAGAAGTGATCTTGATTTGGAAAAATTTGGTGGACTCAGTGGAACGCCGAGTCAAGCGAGTAGTTGCTCCTGTCTTGATTGTGATGAAATACGTGAATTTCAAGAAGACAATCATCTTCTTAAAGTTTGCCGTGATCGTCGTCATTCTGATTCATGTTGTCTTTGCATTAGTCCCACGGCCATTTCGTCAACGAGGTAAATTAGATTAACATTTTCAAAAACAAATTTCATTTTTTTTTTTTTTTTCAATTGGCATTTTGTTTGCATATAAATATTCATATATGAATTGAACAACCATGCGACTTTTTGCCGAGGCTATTGATCGTTCAATAAATTGAACGTAAATATTTTGCAAATTCAATGTCTCGGTCGCTTTGAATTTAAACTCATTCATTGTATGTTGAGCAGTAGCTTTTTATAAACTCGATTATCATATAGTACACTTAACGGATAGAAATAATGAAAAAATGCCGCGGAAGTAGTATTTATTTTTTTTTTTGCTTTTTGTTAACAAAAATATAATAACTATGAAATGGGGAATTTTTTTTTTGAATAATAGAAACTACTAAAAAGGAATTTTAGTTTAGTAAATTAATTGTTTTTAATTTTATATTATTGTTATTAACTATAATTGAAAACGTTACTAGATAGTGGAAAATTATTTTGTAAAATTAATTTGAAATAGGAGTGGAAAGATATATCCTGATAAGCTATGTGTGTTGGCGGAACTGAGAGTGATAAAATAGTAAATTGAAGTGTGTGCCCTCGTATGATTTGCGTTTTTATGATAGTCCCCCGCGGCCTTCGCACCAAGGGAATCGAGTTGATGTAAAATAAAAGAAATGATCTGCGTACATAGAAATGACTTACGTCAATGGTTTATATTAAAATCGCTATCTCCATTTATGGAGAAATTTTAAGCTTCTCCTTTTTTCCATCAAAAAATTAATTAATTTATACATTTTGCAAAAAATCACAACTCATTAACTAAGTATTAAATATATAACAAGCGATTGAATCAAAATAAGGAAAACATTTAATTTTATTATACAGTAAAATTATTAATTATCAATTAAAATTTTCGTTTGTATAATTTTTTTATTTAACAATTTAAGAAATATTTTTTATATAATATAAAATATATAATATAATAATAATATATGAATATATAAATAAATTGTAATTATTTTACAGAAATCTTCATGAAAATGGTACAAGAAGAAATTCCTGTTTGGGCTCGTCAAATCCATATTTTACGAAGCTGCAAGAAGCAAATCAGGATTCACATTATGAACATTCAATTTCTACGGAACATGAGAAAAATTCTGCTATTTTATTAAATATCCCTCCAGTGAGAAAAATATCAGATTGTTCGACAAATTCAAGTTTGAGTGGAGATGAATTTGAGGTAACTGAACTTCAGCCAGTAAAACCTTCAAAGGTGAGTAATACTCATTTTCATATAATAATAAATTTTCTGCTCAGAGTTGCCATCTATTGAGTCAGATGTGAATTCCTTTATTTTATTTACACTTGATAATTTAGTTGTTTGCATTTATAAAATTTAAACAATTTGAACACAAATCTTTTTAAATTAATTTTTCCTTTTTTTTTATAATGAACACATTTTTCATAAACGGATCTGACTTTGAAACGTCAATTTGTGTTATTATTAGAACCATATAATGGTTGAAATATTTTAAAACTATAATTATTTTATAATTAATTATTATCCTATTATTGTTTTCTTATACACTTACAAATTTTTTTTTATCCCTCTATAAATCTTTAACAGAAAAAAAATTCAAAATATTTCTCAATGTTTTCTTAAGAGGATAACATATGACAAAAAAAAAAAAGAAATAAAATTTACTTTAAAACGTAGAGAAAATAAGAAATAAAGGAAAAATAAGAAAAAAAACTGAATAAGCAAACAGAAATATATTTCGATATTACAGTGACGTCTTTAATTGAGTCAATTCAGATTCTTACGTCAAATTCGAATGGGATAATTAAGAGAGATTTTATAATAGTTGTTTTTAAAATGAGAGAGAATTCAGAAACTATTAAAAAATAGAATTTATTATTTAAGGAAATCAAACGCAGCGTCTTTTTTGATATTGGATATAACTCACAATGTTAAAAATATTTTATAGAGTTAGGGAAAAATAATTTCGGATAATTTTTTTTTTTTAGCAAAATTTTTTAAATATTCTTTTTGTGAAATTGTCATATGTCGTAAAATATGGGATTAAGAGAGAAAGGCAGAATTTCGCAACAAGGTAGATATTCTAGATATAGAACATCCGCTTGCCAGAAGGCAAGTTGGAGTTATAAATTATGCTTCAAGAATTTTCGTTCCGTTTTTTTTTTTGTTCAGAGAGGTTTCGATTTCAATTCATCTAACTTTAATTTTAATCTCTAAATTGTTTTTGAAATTAATCTTTAACGATTTACTTTCTCTTATTCTTTTTTAGTATAGGATACATTTGATTATGATGGAACTTTTTATTCTTCGATACTGTTTTCAATCAATTTTTTGATTTCACTTTTACTTTATTGTTTTTGGTCTTGTTTGTTTGTTCTATTGTTTAATTTTTTTTATTGTAGATTTAGAAAAAATTATTTGTGTTTACATTCATTATTGAAAAGCAAACAATTAATTTTTCATTATAATAATGGATAGGAAAACAAATTAGAGGCAAATTAAAGATTTTTTTTTTGTATTAAACGATATTATATTAGTTAAGTGGAAATCTTTATTTATGAATAATTGCTCATGTACGTATAAGCTCGGAGTAATTTATCCTTTTGTTTATTCCGTATTTATCAAAATATTGTGACATTTTAAAAATTCAAAATTAATAATTCATAAGATTCAAACTTTATTATACATTGAAAAGTTACAATGTTATTGAAAATTATCATCGAAATTTGATAGATTCAGTGAAATTTGTTTTATACTCGTTCAGGTAAATGTGCGTCATCAAAATAAACATTAAGGCATCTTTGTCGTAAGATGAAGATTTATATTGCAAGGTATGACGTCAGAAATCAAGATGTTACGTTTAAGTTGAATGAACTCTAAGTACCATTCTCGGAGTTAGTTTCTTCTTAAACTTGTTAAATTGTTATGTTTATATTTTTGAAACTTTATTTCAAATCATATTTTTTCTTCATTTTAGGAAAAAACGATAAAAATTCATAATTCAATTTCTTCAATGATTTTTGTTACCTTTAATGAAAAAATTGAAAATTGTTTCTCTAAAGAACAATATAAAGAAATATTATTAAAAATTTTATTTATCAACTTTAATCACTACAATTGGACAAAGAAAAAAAAATCTAAAAACCAAAATAAAAAGCAAAATAATTGAAAGATGGACAAAAATTTCACAAAAAATGACGAGAAACGAAAGTGGATTATTAACTTGAAGAAAAATGAAAGTTTCTGGTACCGTCGATGTAATTGAAGATAATGTAGACTTTTCTCATATATGAGAAAAAAAGTGTTTGATTTAAATTAAAAAGAATCTCGTCAAAAACTTTCACACCTGCAGTGCTAATTGAAACATTCGTTAAATTCAATTTTAACGAGAGGGTTTAAAAAAGAAATGAAATCAGTACACAAACAAGTAGTCTGACAGAGAAACGTGTACAATATTCTGTGTGTACCTTGTTCATAAATGTAGGGGAGCAAATTCTGAGTGAGTCTCTTAAGTAATGACCATCCTCGAGCCAGTCAGTCAGTCACTCAGTCAGTCACTCTCGGTAATTCACTTCGTTCTTGGGTTCTGCTTTCTTTATTCGGTCATAGAATCTCGATATGAGATTTATCGTAAGCATTTATGGTTTCGGGATTTAACGCGATATCGAGAGTTTGTCAATTTTATAAATTAACATTTTAAATTAAACATTTGCCATTATTGCAAAAATGACAAACGCTCAAAATTGCCTCGAAAAAAAATTTTTAAATTACTTTGAAAAAAAAAATATTTAAAAATAAAAGTATTAAAAAACGTTTAAATATTCGAATTTGATTTAAATTTTTATTTTTCTAGATTTAAAATAGAAAAAAAAATTGAATTCTTTTTATTTTCCATTTAAATTGAAAGTGTATTGAAAAAGTTGTTCTTTTTTTTTACGCTCGCGGTGTTGAATTTTAGTGACATTACAATCCCAAATTCGTGACACTGCGAACTATAAAGTTTGCAAAAGCGTTGTATCCTTTTTCGGTCCGATGGCCACGGGAACATTGCATTTTATGACGTCCAATCGTTTTATTTGTTTGTACATACAACGCTCCGCCGATTGCATGTTTATATCTCATTAATAAAATTGCCACCAAATTGGCCAAAATTCACTTAACATATGGAACCAGGAAGAACAATTTTTTTTCTCATTTTGTTTTTTGTCTCTTAATTAATTCGTTGATCCTTGAGAAGAAAGAAATTAAAAAAAAAAAAAAAAAAAACAATAGTGTTAACGAGCTTTTTTTAATTGTCCATAAAATTTGTTTTTTTTTCTTATATTTTAACGATCTCGGTTATTTAAAGAGGATGGATTTTAAGTGTCTGTGAAAGCATTAAATTTTTACGTCCATAAAAAAGAAATTGCCCCGGGTAGACTAAAAAAAGAGTCAAATGAAGTTACTGTCAAATTTGTACAACATCTTTTTTTAGTGCTGCTTGAATTTCTTGTGGATTTCTGAGATTCATATTTGATAAAATTTTGCTTTATTTAAATATAATTTGTTATATTTAAAAATAAAGAATTTTATTTTATTTTTTGAAATAATAAATTTTTTTTAAAAATATCGTTTTATATAATTTTTCTTCTTTTAAAAAACGAGGCAATTTTGAGATAATTTATAATGAAATTTTTATTGTCACTCTGTTAAAAGTTAAAATATTTGAATTTAGAAGAAAAAAAGAAAAAAATCTCCGTGAATCGTAATTTCTCGATCTAGGATGTTTTTCTTTTCATGAAAAAATAAACATCTCTTTGGTTAAAAGATTCATGACGTGAGCAAAGTGTATAAGAGATAAGATTTACAATTTTTCTCTCCTTGCGAGAAAGGTATCTTTTTGCTGCTAACTTGAGATTATGGTAAAAATTTTTTTAGGGGGGAAATAAACGCGCGTAAGTAACCAATATAGAAAGTCGCTTTAGTTCACTTTTGTTGGTTGAAACGCAAGCAAGTCTCCCTTGTTCTATTAGAAATATTATAAATTATTATAGTTTTCAATTTTTGAAATATTATTATTTTATTAAAAAACGAAAATAAACGAATGAAATATATTTTTAATTAATTTTTTTTTCTAATTCACTTTTAAAACATTTCTTTATTTGTGAAATAAATTGTGACTTACGTGACATTCAGCAAATTAGTGAATATAAAATTTTATGAATTAAAATCCGAAATCACGTAAATTCGATTTTAATTAGAGTTTTTAATAAGTAAATTAAAAATATTTTCTATACTATTTATTTATTAATTTTATTTATTAAAAATCTTGATTAGAAAATAAATAATTTTTGAGTGAAAAAAAATTTAGAACTCAATTTACAGTAAAGTGTAAAAAATTTTTCGAAAGAGAAGAAACATAAAAATGCAAGATGAACAATTACAATGGTTGCATAATCGGAAATAAACGATTTGTGGTAACTGAGAGGAAAATTACAGTGCAAATGTACTTTTGAAAACAAAATCTGGAATATTTTTTGAATTATTGGAAAATTCAAATTTTTTACTCTCGAGAGATTATTATTATTATTATAAAAATGATGGATACTGAAGATAAAGAATCAAATTCACGATGCTCGAAGATGGCGCAGAATCCAACAACGCCAACGTCTCCGTGCTTAAATTTAATGGAGCAACTTCTCTTGGCAAAGATTGAGAGACAAACAGTTTCGGAAAATCACGACGATAATCTTCATCTTTTGTCGAAAAAAAAATCTCTCTTACTGAGAACTGATTCAATGGATAGTCAAACAAGTACAAGTACATTTGGCTCAATAATCTCTAATGAATCAGCATCATTTAGCCGTTACTGCAGGTGTGATGATTGTCTTTTGGGAATTGTCGATAAATATCAACAAAATCCATCATCAATTGGAAGAAAAAAGGTAATTTAATATCAAGAATCAGATCAATTTTTTAAAAAGCTAAATTTCTTAATTTTGTCAGACGGTTTTTTCAAACTGAAATATTGATTTCTTGTCCAGCAATATTGTGATATTTTTAATTTAGGATTTTAATTTCTTGTCCAATTGTGGTAGTTTTGTAAAAAGAAAAAAATAATTGCTCTTTTTTTTTTTGCAGAAACTTCATAAAATTAATGTCAATTTGTAATTGTATTTTCAAATCGAGAATCAGGAAAAGCTTTATGAGTTTATTTAATAATTTTATTTTGATAATAATTCACTCGTCAGTTC